GAGAAAGTGACGGGGCAGCATGAGTGAACGAACAGCACGGCGTGCACTTTCTGCCCGTTAAATATATTTTCCGCCATCTCGCCTCTCCGTTCCGTTTGTTTTGTGCAATCTAAACTGATGCGTCCCCAAAGATTAATGTCGCCAGCGTTCCGGTCATCCATTTTAATTCGCATTACCCTATCTGCGTTACCCTTTTCCTCTTTCTGCGCCGCCGCGCTGCGCCTCCCCGGGGAGCGGACGCATCCCGCGCGCCTCGCGGCGACTAGTGCTGTGCGTAGCTCGCGCACGCACTCCACCACGGCCTCCTCTTCGGCATCTACCACGGCCTCTTCTTCGGCCTCTACCACGGCCTGCACAACAGCCTCCACCACGGTCTCTACCACGACCTTTCCACGTCCCGACCACGGCCTGTCCACGGCCTCCGCATGCAAAGAACGATGGGACGAACCACATTCGTGTAAAGTTTGTCAGAATATCAGAAGCCTGCGTGAAATTCTTATCAAATTTCGCACACCTCTGAAAGCTAACTAGGGGTACGCGCCGTTTAGTCTGGGCGCGTAGTGTGGCTGAGCGATGCGAATTGACATAGTTTGTGCACTTTGGACTTTGCTTGAGTAGATGAAATGTCCATCTTAAGGGCTCATATTCAGTGAACTTTAGACCAGGGGTTCAAATGGAAGTGATTTTCGTTATCAGAACCCAAAAAACTGCTAGGATCAGTGTCAAACTCCTTTTAAAAAATTTTGGCCCAAAAATTGGTAAAAATTCGGTTAAATGTGAGTCTGGGAAAAGTTTGAAGGTCTTTTTGAGTTCAGCACACCAAAACTGCAGGAAACAATAAAAAACTCGACATGAAAATTTTGGTCCAAAATGACCTAATTTAGGATGAAAATATAAGTCTGGAGTCGAAATGAAAGTGATTTTCGTTATCAGCACACAAAAAACTGCTGGGATCAATGTCAAACTTGATTTAAAAATTTTGGCCCAAAAATTGGTCAAAATTCGGTTCAATGTGAGTCTGGGAAATTTTGGAAGTCTTTTTGAGTTCAGCACCCCAAAAAACTGCAGGAAACAATATAAAACTTGACTTGAAATTTTTGGTCCAAAATGACCTAATATGGGATGAAAACATAGGTCTGGTGTTAAAATGGGAGTGATTTTCGTTATCAGCACTAAAAAAACTGCAAGAATCACTGTAAAATTTAAATTTTTAAAAAAATTTTAAACCAAAAAATCGGTTAAATTTTGGGTCAGGGGACAATTTAGAGGTCAATATTGAGGTCAGCGCACTGAAAAATACGGGAAACCAAAAATCTCATTTTGGGAAAATTTTTGGCCCCAAATTGCGTAGCTCTAGATGAAAATGTAGGATTGGCGTTGAAAAAAATGTAGTTTTTGTGACCGGTACACTGAAAACTACACACAATACTTTATACTCAATTTCTGTATATTGTTTCTATTTGTCTTCATGAAGCACCCTCTGTCGTCACCAATTCCCTGATGGCACACCAAAGCGAACCCCTCAGTCGAGTAAAATCCAATTGCCAGCATTCAATCGCTTTATTGGCTACTCGTATGTTTGGGGTCACTATTCGATAACTATTTTTCTTAATTTATGAACTCAAAATTTTTATAAGTAATTTTTATGAAACATTTTGTCATTCTTTCATTGTGAACCAGGAATAAAACAATATTGTTTGGGAAATATGTTATCACAGTTAATATTGAGGGGTCAGTTTAGGGTAGGCTGATCTGAACCAGTTAGCGGGGACCAATTATTGTCAAATCCAGTGTTTCGTCACATAGAGACCAATGCCAAGGCTACCCAAGGCTTAATGAACCGACATAATTTATCTTACTCATGTAATCAATACAAATAGTATCAGTTATATTAACTTTGGTGAAAAAAAAGGAATCGTCTCATTAAATCCCATCACTAACCATTATATAGTTGGTTGTCTATGCACTAATTGACTCACCGCTCAAAACCTGAGTCGTCTCTTTGACCCAATATCAATTTAAACTCTATTAGAATTAAACTTACACAACCATATTTTGATTCTATTAATAAACATGTTTACTTTTGCATTCTTGTCAGCTTGCAGCTTTGCAATAAAATGTATTTCTCGAGTCCAAAAAAAGTATGCCCGCTAATTTCAACACAAGTTATTTATGCATTTCCCCGATTTCCTTTACTATGAAAATTTAAAAAGAGGATGACACTAGAGAAAGAAATAAGAAGATGCACACAATTAAAGGTCAAAATGAAAACATTCCCTTTTTTCAATGCTTTGTCAAAGTGCACTGACCTGAAGATGATTCCCCCATGACAGTGGAGGGGGAGAGGGGAACGAAACTCGTAAATCATTCTCAAATCCATTCTCCATATTTCGCTGTGTTGGTGTTCCAAAAGGGTTTTAAACATTTTAGAATGTTGAAAAATTAAGGTCGATCTCATTTCGATACCCTTCTGCTCTTTAATTCGTTTTATTTGCTTATTTGCTTGTGTCCCGTATTTGAGAGCCGCGGACCCGCAGGTATGAGAAATTGGTAAGCGGCGCGGCGCTGCCAACCTAACCACGCTAATGACCAGATTCAAAAATATGTTTTGAATATTTCAAACGATCTAAAAAACGATTTGAAACAAACTCGTGTTGGGGGGTGCTAAGGCGACGTTAAATACGAAATCTTGAAACTATAGCCACTGTAGTTTTGAGAATCGTGGGAGTACAAACAGACAGACAGACGCACACCAGTCACTTTTCAGCGCGCCCAAACACGGCAAGGGCTTCGCTATCGCTCAGCCAAAAATTTATAGAAATCAGACCATCAATATCAGAATAAGTTTTCAGAATATGAGCTTTGAGAGGTGCGCGGATTTTGATTGGGATTTCAGAAAGGTTTCTAACGTTCTCGAAAATTTTACACGGCGGCAATCAACTTTCGCTGCAGACACGTGCCACGCACCGTGTTTGGCGCGCACGGCCTCAGCCTGCACCGCACCCCGCGGATCCACGGAGCCTCCTCACGGAATGCCTTTGGTCGGCGCGTCAAAGCGAGGCGCAGCGAGCACGCTGAGAACACGCTGTCAACACACGGGGACACGCATGCGAGTCGCGGCAATAAAACCAAGGCGGGCCTCGCTTCTTCGCGGCTGGGGCCTCTTACCTCCCCTCATCCCTTTTCCCTTCCCCCGGCCATCCGCGCCGCCAGGCAATTAAACAAGATGGTTAATTCATGCAAATGTTTGCTGCGCGAGGAAATCACGACATCTTCACTTTAACTCTTATATTAAAGGGAAGCAAATCGGCGCGGCAGGCTCCGCGTGGAGTGGCTTAATCAAGGCGCGCTCTTGAAAGAAGCCTCGGAGAGCCCCGCGGCCCGCACGAGTCTGTCCTGTCTGTCTGTGCCCAATGGGACAGAATAAATACAAGTCCACATTCATGTAAATGTCACAAAAAGTTTTATAATCTCAGCTGTCAGAGGTGGACGAATTTTGATCAGGATTTAAGACATGTAACTGACATTCTAGTTGACGCGATCATCCCTACTTTTGTTAATTCCATCCCCCTTCAAATAAAAACATTTAGAAAAGTTAACTGTGTGTCTGTCTGTTCGTCTGCGTCTGTTTGAGACACGCGTGACACGGCGATCGGACACTACCGGTTGCGGTGCGACACTCCGCAAAGCGTGCGTTAGTGTTGCCGGGATAATCTCCGCCCCAAACCCCCCAAACCGCCCTGCCCCGCTCCCTCGGGGACACTTGGGCCCCGGAACGAGCCAACAATGAAGCGGCCGAATAGCTGGGCAGATAGCTAACCGCCCCCCGCCCCGCCCCGCTGCCAGCGTAACCAGTAGCGCACCGCAGAGCTCAGCGGCAACGACTGCCAAAAGTGGAATGCCAAGTAGGCCCCATCTGCGATGTAATCCTTCCCTTCAGGACCTACCCCCCCCCGAGTCTGTTTGCCGAGTACGCTTACGGTTTCAAGAGGTCTTTTTGGCAGATGATGCACACTCTGAGAACCTTACAAACTATTTTTGCCCTTACAAAGAAAAGCAGCTTGTCATAACGAAGTAGTTTGAATTAAAACTACATTTTAATTTTTGGAAAGCCTGAAGTACACGTAGGCTAACGTAAGGTTGTCAGAGTGTGGAGACTGTGTAACGTTCCCCACCAACACGGCACGCGCAACCCTTCGAACCTTCCGAAATATTTTAAAATGAATTCTTGCATTTGTTTTTTCATACTATTCTGTTTGTGGAAATGTCCGGCACTGCAGTGGAAGTGGAAGACACACTGTTCGCTACGAGTTCGCTATCAAGCCACCAAATTTCCTGTTGCTCGACGCAAAGAAATCGCGAAGACAAAAAGAAATCAATGCGGCAGAGAAAATGTGACGTTATTAAAACGCCATCATTCACGCCGTAATTAACTCGGGCCTGCCAGCCGAGTGGCCGGGACATAAAAATATGGAAAGCAAAGACATTTGTCTTAATCTTATTTTCTTGGCGCGGGGTGGCCACCCCTTTCCTGCTGCACTGTGGGCAGACCCAAATGGTCCACCGACCAGGAAAAAAAAACTCTGCTCCTCCTGACTGGGGGTGAGGGTGGTTTTTCGCTGGAGGTAAGAACGCAAGAAAAATAGTTCCGGAAATGAAGTATACAGTGGGGTGGCCGACGGAGCAGCCGAGGCCGGCATGAGTGACACTTTGCCTTTCAGACGTTTACGTGCATCGATCAGGTGTATTTATCGAGCAGAGAAAGAGAGAGAGAGAGAGACCGAGAGAGAAAGAGAGACCGAGAGAGAAAGAGAGAGAGAGAGAGAGAGAGAGAGAGAGAGAGAGAGAGAGAGAGAGAGAGAGGGAGAGGGGCCCAAGGGAAAGGCGCCGGCTGCGAGGCGGAGAGATTTAACGGCCGATAGCGGGCCACCGTAATAACAATTAAAAGCACCAGTTTGGAAAAGATCGCGTCGCGATTTTTTGGCGGAATGTAATTTCATTGTTCTGAATATCGTTTAAAAGGAGAGCAACAGACAAAAGCGGTCGACTTGACGGAGGAAGAGAAAAAGGAGTCGCGAAGTGGGCCGTCGCTTTAATTAACGACATTCTCTCGGCGAGTCGCGGCGAGTGGGGAGACGCTCTGTGTTGTTTCTCGTCTTGTTCCTGAAGAGTGCCCTTTTTGTTTTTGCGCTCGGTGTGCGATCAATTTTGGCCGCCGTCCCTGCGAAACGCATAAAGCCTGCAGGCCGGACCCAAGGGCGGCGACCTGCCTGATAAAAGCACCGCTTAAAAAAGAAGATAAGGTTTTTTTGTTCTTTCTGTTTGTTTCGTTGCCGGTGTCTGGGTTTAGCTTCTGACACTGTCTTTCAGACTGTGTCTGTGCGTGTGTGTAGAGGAGTGGGAGTGAGACAGAGAGAGAAAGAAGAGGGGGGGGGGTCCTATTTCTACAGTCAAAACACAGCCTTACGGACAGCCGTCGAGGCTTCTTCAGTCATGTTCCTATCATAAATCGCACCCGTTCCCATCAATACGGGAGTGAGCCCACGTGCGCATGAGAGAGAGAGAGAGAGAGAGAGAGAGAGAGAGAGAGAGAGAGAGAGAGAGAGAGAGAGAGAGAGAGCGCGCTTGAAAAAGAGCGAGGCCGTGTGGGCAGGCTCATGGCGCGGCGGGGCGACGCATAAGGTGTCCGAAAACACGAGCCGTCGGGGGAATGCATTGAAAAGGGGAGGAGGACACACTGTTGCAGCATGTGATGATGTCTTGGATGGCGTCGTTCTTTTTTCTCTTCGCCCTCGCGCCACCAGCACCGCACTTCCAGCAGGGCGCAGCGCGGAGCAGCGCGGAGCAGCGCGGAGGGGGATTTGGCGAGGAAGGAGGGGAACGTCTTTATCGGCCGAGTTTACAGGGCCACGGCACCGCCACGGCACTGCCACGGCCACGTCGCGACATCTCATGGCACTGCGGCGATAAGCGGGAACAATGCGCCCAAAGGGTTGACACACGCTCTCTCTCTCTCTCTCTCTCTCTCTCTCTCTCTCTCTCTCTCTCTCTCTCTCTCTCTCTCTCTCTCTCTCTCTCTCTCTCTCTCTCTCTCTCTCTCTCTCTCTCTCTCTCTCTCTCTCTCTCTCCCCCTCCTCTCTCTCATGCTACGAAGGGTCGTTTGTTTCCCATCCAAACGATGGAACGGCAATGCGTTGTCCGTGCGGCAAATCGACACTGCATTGTTGGCGTCTGGGAAGGGGGACCCCGGCCGCGACCAGACGGGGTCTGTGGGGAGGAACGAACGTGGCGATGTGACCACGGTAAAAACGCTTCCTGGTTTTCCCAGGAACTCCCTGGAAATCACCAATGTCTCTACCATAGGGTTCCTGGGAAAACCAGGCACCGTTTTTACCGTGACTGCAGAGGATTCTGAAAGACAGCTTGACACAACACTGTGAAACCAAGTGTGTAGAACTCCACACTTCCTGGTGCGCGCACCGCGTTGTAACTCCTCCTTCGCACTTGGAAGTGCAGAGTCTGCAATATCCTCACCACCTTTTAGTGTCGAGTAGCTCACAGAGCTTCCATCTCTTGGAACGGTGCAAATTCGGAGAGTGTGGGGACCGCATACTCTGCACTTCCAAGTGCGGGGATTAAAAATTCCACTCGCACAATTGTGCGGCAGTCTGGTCAAGGTCCTAAGATGCACTGTTCGTAAGGCCCTTTTTCGCAGTGCGTAGCGTCAACAGAGCGACGCCGTCTCATTGGACGACAGTGTAGTAGTGTCTGAAACCAGGCCGCGCCGCCGGCCGTGTGGTTTGCGGACAGGGCGCCTCTCCCAGAAAATAGTTTGAGCCTCCGGGGCGTCCGCGGCCCGCGCTTTCATGTGTCCAAACAAAACAAACAACAACACGCAGCCGGGAATACGAAACGCCCCAACCTGGAGACTGCTTCCGAGAGTCCTTTGGGTCGCTCTGTCTCTCTCGCTCCTGTAGGGGACATCCCACAAGCGCGACAGAGACAGCGCGGCGAAAACGACCCTCGGAATCAGTCTGCTGGCTCGGCCTTCGCACTCCACGGTGTGGCGGCACGTGCTTTTACACGCAGTGGACCACCCCGCGCAGCGCCGCGCAGCGAGTGGTGACAGCGCCGGCCGGCCAGCTGTGCCGCTGCGGGGAGCTGGGGTGGCAGCGCCTGTGGCGGTCAGGGCGCGCTGCAGTGTTGTTGTTGTTGTTGTTGACGTTGTCGTTGTTGTCCCAGCCAACAACTTGTGCCGTTTGTCATCGGCCAGCATGCGGGTCTGGCGGTGTGGCGGTAGCGGTGGCAGTAGTGGCCCCCGGGACCAAGAGCCGCCGTCCTCGTCCTCGACGTCGTCGTCGTCGTCCGCTCTATACGACTGAATCCGAGAGTCGTTTTCGTCGCTCCGTGTCTCTCGCACTCATGGGCGCTGGAGAGGTGCGAGGGAGACAGCGACAAAAACGACTCTTGGAATCAGTTTGAAGCCGTCTCAGGCTGGGCGGCTGAGGCACGAAACTGGTGGACCCAGCCGCTTGTTGGAAGGTGTGATCAAAGCACTCACTCGCTCTCCGAAAGTCTTACAGTCGAGGAGGAGGGCAGCACATTTCCCTGTATGCTGGATAGTATTTAGTTGACGGGAACGAAATCCGATAAAATATCCATAACGTGCAACGTCCGTAACGGCACAACGTCAGCTGCACCAGGAGAACCTTGAAGATGGTGCCCTTCAGCGTAAGCTTACAGTGGTCCGTTTATCTTTTGCAACCAAGGGGGTAAACATTTCGAGAAATCGTGTGCAGACTCGGTATTGCGCTGTATTGAACGATGGAATTAAACGTGTATTACGGCATTTAAATGCGAAAATTTCGTCGCATTTGCCTCCAAAACGCTGGCGTGTATTGAGCGTATACTACCGGGCTTTTGTGAACAGGGTATTGCGCGAGTACTTACCTCCTAGGCGAGTGTTTACCCGGATCGCTGGTCTGCTACGTCTCGCCGGAGTGATGCTCAGTGACGAAATGGCTTGCCCACTTCAAGGAAGCGTGGCACACACCTGTTAATACCGTGGACATTGTCACAGCTAAAGGACGTACACTGATCGCATTTGTTCTCCTCAAGCAAATTTTCACAAGAATTGAAGCCAATGGCAACAGTGTCACATGCATTACCCACAAAAATGCAGTGTGCACATTTTTTTCTTTTTTTTCTTTTTTCGAAAATCAAGGTTAAGTACATGCCTTATGCCAGACATTATGTTTCGCTTAAAGAACGCGATTTTTTAAATGCTTCAATGTGTCTGACAATATTCCAATTTTTACCTGTTATAACTCTGGTAAAACTAAAGCAAAAAGCAAAAAGTTGGATGATGACTGTTTGAATGTTGCACCACGTTCCAACGAATGTGGCTTCGTATGTTCGAACGAACGGGACAAAACTCACATTACAACCAACGTGGCGTCTTTGAATAACAGAGTATATGGGCCATTTTTACACTCTTCGGCCCAAGAACAGCTGCCTCACAGCTGCCTCACCGAATTTTCTGATTCAACCCCGAATCGTGAATGAAATTTCGGCTGGGAGTGGGCCAGTCTTCAACTCTTTGGCCCCGAACCGCTGCAGGTGGCGCATGGACGTTTACGCGATTCCCGTGTGGATACCCAACTTTTCTCGGAAGAAACGCAGCCACTTGCTTCCGAGTCACGCTGCGTCTCCAAACACAGATGGTTCATGCCCAAAACAAGACCGCTATAAATTGTCGAAACGCTGTCGGTCTTTCACAGTTGTCGCCTTACCCGGTACAATGGCAGCCAAGTTCGTCTTCGTCGTGCTCGCCGGCCTCATCGCCTTGCAGGTAGCCAAGTGCACCATCGACGTGGTGCTGCGGGAAGGGTACACTGATAAGTGTTGGGAACTTCAGACTTGAAGTGCGGAGGAGTGGAATTGGCTGTCTCCGCACTTAAAAGTGCAGAGTTCTCGTTTGCACCATGTCTATGGAGATGGCTCTGCGAGCTGACTAGACACTTGAAGTGTGGAGACTGCACACCAGGAAGTGAGGATTTCTCCACACTTGACTTAGCAGTGCCCTAGTGTGGTGGTTCACAACATAATCCCTTCTCTCTCTCCGCAGGCGGTGATGGCGGACTCGAGCAGCTCCAGCAGCTCCTCCGACGAGTCCGCCAAGCGCCGCCCTGCCCAGCGCCCTGCCAGGCGCCCCGCCCCCGCCCGGGTGTGGTACGCGGACGCCGAGTCGCCGTTTGAGGACGCTTCTTCCGACGAGGACTTCTGGTACCCGGAAGTGGTCGTCAGGCGTCCGAATGGCGGCCGGTACGCTCCTCTGCCCCGCGCCCGGCAGTACCAGCCCAGGCGTCCGGACTTCCTCGCTCCCCGGCAGTACCAGAACCAGCCCAGGCGTCCCATCGTCGTCGAGCGCGTCCCTGCTCTGCCTCGTCCCGTGCAGGGCCGCAACCACCCTGCGCGTCCCTCCGGCGTGGACTTCATCACCCCCAACCAGCCTGGCCGTGACTCCGGCGTGGACTTCATCACTCCCAACCAGCCTGGCCGTGACTCCGGCGTGGACTTCATCACTCCCAACCAGCCTGGCCGTGACTCCGGTGTGGACTTCATCACTCCACCAGCTGGCCGTGACTCCGGCGTGGACTTCATCACTCCCAACCAGCCTGGCCGTGACTCCGGCGTGGACTTCATCACTCCCAACCAGCCTGGCCGTGACTCCGGCGTGGACTTCATCACTCCCAACCAGCCTGGCCGTGACTCCGGTGTGGACTTCATCACTCCTGGGCAGAACCAAAACCAGCCCGAGCGTCCCTCCGCTGCGGAGGTGATCGCTCCTGGTCAGAACCAAAACCAGCCCGCCCAGAGCGCCCCTGGGGGGCGAATCCTCTACAGGGTTTGAAGCTCCTCTACCGGAGCAGGCCGTCTTCAGGTCCGGGGAGCCGGATGAGGAGGACACCAAGTAGGCGCAGTCTGCAGACGCCGCGCCGGTCCGGTAGAAGCATCCCCTGGAGCTCGCTCTAAACAAGGACATGGTTCAAAAACGGCGAATAAAGAGATATAACTTCACATCTTGCGCTTGCCCTGCATTTATTTGCGCATTGATGCCCTCACTGGTTGAAAAAGGGCGCAAAAATTGCACCCCTACAGTGTCTTGGAACGGCGTGAATCGTTTCAGACCGCTATTGTATGTGTCGGGGGCACCCGCACCCTGTCCTACACTGCATTTTGCTGTGTGGCTGGCCGGGCGCGGCACAGTGGACCCGAAGACTGACGCAGGAGGCAAAAACTGGGGGCTCGTTTTGAGCTCCAGAGCCGCTCAACAAGACTCGAACGAACGTGTGACCCCCACCAATGAATTCCTCGTTCGGAGAGCAATCCATTGGTGGGGCCACACGTGCGGCTCCAGTCCCTTGAGCGACTCTTCAGCTCAAAACGATTTCAGAGTTTTGGCCGCTGCGCTTGGCTGAGCTTGCGCTGACAGCGGCACTGAGCCCCGCTGGCCCCGCCGGCCCCGCCGCACGGCCGTTACAAACACAGAGCAGCAATTTGCGCCGCAAGCATGGCGAGAATGGCGAGCATTCGGCCACCGCCATTAGACACTCACGCGCCGCCAGGCTGTCTCCGCTCCGTCCCTCTCGCTCCACTACGCAACGGCACACGAGTGCGAGAGGGACAGCGCCGTCCAGCATCACGGTGTAGTTGTTGGAGCCGCGCCCGGCCCGCCCAGCCCGCCCGGCCCAGCCCGGCCGCCCGGGTCGGAAAAGTTTTGCGTACCGTGTCGTCAGCAGCAGCAGGCGCGGCGGGCGGCACATTCGCGCCTCCGAGCCGGGCCTGCGGACTGAGAGTCGTTTCCGTCGCTCTGTCTCTCTCGCACCCCAAGGGTCACGCCGTGAGTGCGAGAGAGGCAGAGCGACGGACACGACTCTCAGTGGATCAGTCCGCTGGGCAGGCCCTCTTTCCAGAGGAATGATGCCGAAGCGAGGCGCGGATTCATGCAGAAGAGGAGAGGGGTTCATTCAGGCATTACATCTTCTGTCTCTCTCGCACTTGCTGGCAGTCCATAAGTCAGAGCTTAAGACAACGTTACGTAATAAGCGAACAGCACCTTATTATTACCACGCGCCGCCGGGCGGGCAATCCCATCAGACTGCGGGTCAGCACCATGAGTGAGGAGCATCCCATGGGAAGGAGAGGTCACTTCCCATGGAAGAGCCTCCCCATGGAAACCCGTTGACACGACTGCTGCCAACACAACCCGGGTTTGAATCCATGGGTCGATATTTTCCCCATCTCATCTCAAAAATCCGGTACCATCAGTCGGAGTTTGCGGGTGCTTCTATTGCAAGTGATGAGGTGGCTCGGATGGATGAGATAAAGGCTGTCACGAAAACAACCGGGGTGCGAATCCCAGTTGGGTTGATCTCTGCCCACGTTTTCTATAACCGCGCCGTGATGTGTCGAATGGGTGGCCTACCCTGAAGGCACCGTAAAGGTTGGCCACCCATGAAACACGTCTCAGCGCGGCTACGGAAAATATGGGCAAAGCTGGAACTGCAGCGCGTGGCGACTCGTCGGTTGTCTACAGTGCACGTACGCACTAAAATTCAAGAAGTGAGGACGTGTGACCGATTTCTTTAGCGGTGCTCTTGCACGTTTCGAGAGCGAAGCCTGCGCCCCGAGCTTCTGGAACCAAGTCAGACGAAGCAGCAGCTGCATAGGCCCTGCATAGGCCCTGCATAGGCCCTGCATAGGCCCTGCATAGGCCCTGCATAGGCCCTGCATAGGCCCTGCATAGGCCCTGCATAGGCCCTGCATAGGCCCTGCATAGGCCCTGCATAGGCCCTGCATAGGCCCTGCATAGGCCCTGCACCTCTCCCAGCCAGCCGGACGGTGGACGCCACGGAGAGAAGGAACCGCGCCAGCCTGCTTCCGAAGCTTTTCGTCGCGTTGTCTCTCTCGCACCTGTCCACAACCCCCAAGCGTGCGAGACAGAGCAACGAAAAGCTCCTGCCGTTTTGGAGTCAGCCTGCGGGAAGACACTTAGGACGTCTTTAATTAAGATAGCGCGCGAAAACGGCCTCCAGGTGTACCAGTGGTTTGCCAGTGGTGTGCCAGTGGTGTGCCGAGGCCCGGCCAGCCCCGCAATTAGCGTGCTTATCAAAGCGAGTGACGCCGCCGCGGACGACGCACAGTGGGCCAGAAGACCGGCGAAGACGGCCAAAACTCTAGGCGCGTTTTGAGCTCCAGAGTCGCTACTGGACTCGAACTGAACGTGTGGCCCCACCAATGGATTCCTCGTTCGGAGAGCAAGCCAGTGGTGGGGTCACACGTTCGGTTCGGGTCCTGTTTAGCGACTCTGGAGCTCAAAACGCGCCGAGAGTTTTGGCCGCCTCCACCGGTCTTCTGGCCCACTGTGCGACGAGATATCCGTCACCGTGGTGGCGTGCCGCGCGCCGATTGGCCAGGAGACTCATTTCGAGAGTCGTTTTCGTCGCTCTGTCTCTCTCGCACCTCACGGGGCGCCCCATGAGTGCAAGAGAGACAGAAGCGAAGGAAACGACGACACTCGGAATGAGTCTGCAGTGTGTTTGGCGATGATGGCAACTACTGCTCGGCACCACGCCCTCCCCCTCCCCTTCTAACCGCCGCGCCGCCTAAATCACCTTAAGGGCCGCAAACTTGACTCATTACTCTTCCTTCTATTACGCGGCCGGAATTTATACCGTCGGCCCATTTAGCGGCCGGTTCATTGCGACACTCTCGCAGGAAAGAGTTAATTCCTTATTCCGACCGCGTAGCACGGCACGGCGGCCAAAGTTATTTTCCAACTAGTTGCCAACAAAGGCAGTGGGGGCGAGACCGCACCGCAGTCGTCTGGACAGCGGCGGCCTGCCTATACCGCAAGCGACCCGGGTTCGAATCCCGGCCGGGCCCGGCCCCAGCATGGAACCCACGGAACCGGATGAAACTCTGGACGTTTCGTGAGTTCCGCGGTAGCGGTCCAAAAGTGGGAGTCGGCGGGTGCACTGTGAGCGAAACCAAGTGTGACTGGTGTGGAGTACAAGCATACACTCTCAGACCTATATGGACTTTTTTCTCTCTTGCTTATTGCGTTTTTTGAGCAAGCGTAAAATGTACTATTTTCTTCTTAACTATGCACAATTTCGATCGTAATAAAGAGAAAATTGTCAATAGATCATGTAGAAATTGAAACGTACATTGCAAATGAGAGCTCAAAACGCGTCTATGGTTTTGGCCGCTATAAAGGGCAGGGAAAACACAGCAGACTCGCGAACTCGTATTTTCAAATCATTTGGCCGTGCCAATTCTTCAGCCTCCGTTGGGCAATCCGTTCCGGGTGTTCGATTCGGGTCGCTGTTGTGCACGCCGCTCCAAGCAAGCGCTCGGCAGGCCGCACAGCAAGGTCCACTCCACTGTATACGCCGGCCCGCCTGCCGCTGGCTGCTGCTCATTTCCAACAGGCCTTTCCTCGCCTTGTCTCTGTCCCGCCGAAGCGGACGCCCCGTGAGTGCGACGGAGACAGAGAGACTGTTGAGGTTCCCCGAGCGGGCGGGCACTGCAGTGGAGTGGCGGTGCGGCGCCACGGCCAGCAGAGGGTGCGGCGCGGCGCATTGTGGCTGCTGTCTTATCAGGGCTTCCGCGTCATCACACGCCTGGCAACCCTCCCCCTCCCCCAGCGTGTCCACTGCTGCGGCAACACGAGATGATCATTTAATGCCAGGGGAGGGGCAGGCCGGTGATCGGCGCGCACAGTGTGGGGACGCCGTGTCGCGTGACCGCGCTCCGACAAACACGCGCGTAACAGGCGGTCTCTCTCGCACTCACGGGGCGCTCCGGAGTCCGCTAGGGAGTGACAGAGGCAGAGGCATCATCGCCCAGCAGGCCCTGCTGACGACACGCTGCAGGCAATCCGGTCTCGGCTTCGGTCTCGTCGCTCTGTCTCTCTCTTACCTAAACGGGACACCTCACGTGCACGAGAGAGACAGCGCGACGAAAACGACTCTCAGTCTGCTGACAGTGGGGCGCAGAGAAGGGGTGCACCCCGCAGCAGACTGAATCCGAGAGTCTGCCTCACTCGCACCTGCCACGGAACGCCCCGAGTGCGAGACAGAGTGACGAAACCGACTCTCTAATCGGACAGCTAGGCCGGCAGTTTACAAAGCTGAGCTGTCGACGTATTAAGGCGGAAGAAGGTGAACCGGACAAAAACCGAAAACTCTCCTCCAGGTGATCCTGCCTCTCGTTGGGCGTCCCGCAGGGCGCTGCGGGTGCGAGAGAGACAGGGCGACGCAGCGCGACAGGTGGCGGCGAGGGTCGCCAAGGTGCAGATGGCGACGCGATTTTTTCTCGCGACGCAAGAAGGCCGGCCCCACCAGCCGCACCAGCGGCACCCCGCACCCCCTCCCAGTCCTCCAACGCGGCGCAGGCTCCACCAAGCTCCACCAGGCTCCGCCCCCCTCGCCGGCCCCACCAGTGTGGTGACGGCGCCAAGGGGGGGATGGGCCGGCACACAGTGGGCCAGAAGACCGGTGGAGGCGGCCAAAACTCTAGACGCGTCTTGAGCTCCAGAGTCGCTAAGCTGGCCTCGAACCAAACATGTGACCCCACCAATGGATTCCTCGTTCGAAGAGCAATGCATTGGTGGGTCACACGTTCAGTTCGAGTCCCATTTAGCGACTCTGGAGCTCAAAACGCGTCTAGAGTTTTGGCCGCCTACACTGGCTTCTGGCCCACTGTGCGGCAGCGGGCCAGTCTATCGGCCCGCTGGGAGAAGCTGCTGGCCCAAACCTAGAGTGGAGAACTCCACGTCAGCCTCCCCACTTTGTGGACTTTTCAGTATGCCGAGGGATAGGGCATCTGTGAGCTACTCCACACTTAAAGAGTGTGGAGGCCGCAACCTCCACTCGTCAAAGAGTGGAGAATGACTCCTCACCGTAAAGTGTGGAGGTCCACACTCGGTTTTGACAGTGGACGCTGTGTGGAATCTGACAGAGTGAGTCCCGACCGCGTCCTGCTCGCCTCGATGACAGCCGTGCCGAGGGGCCGA